TAAATAATGAGGATGTCAAAGATAACAGCAGGAAAGTGGGAGCAGGTAACAGCTTTGCAGCCAGCTTTCTGACAGCTGCCTGGCAACATCCAATTAAGAGGCGCGCGCCACCGTTAAGCCCAGCGCAGAACGCGTCCAGCGCCCGGACTGGGGGTGTTGTGATGCCGGCACCAGGGCAGCCTGCAGCACCGTGCTTGCAGCATGCGCTCCCAAAGGCAGAGGGAGCAGGCAAACGGAGCAGGGGAAGGAGAGATTGCAAGAGGCAGCTGGGTCAGCTAACTGCAGGACTCGCTTTCTCGGGACTTGCAAGAGAGGAGCAGATTGGCCCTGGCCCCATGCCGAGGTGCAGGTGCTGCTGGGGCAGCTCCTCAGGATTTCGGTCCCTGCTCACACAGGTGTTTGTTTCAAGGGTTGCATTACATCGTGCCACAATTCAAATATTAGGAATCTGACTACGTCTGAGGTGTAATTGATCTTCTGATGACTTTTTAAACATCTGGTGAGAGGGGACTGCTTTCCAAACAGCAAAATCTACACCAAAATGATCTTGATTTGAATAATAAGTATTCCATCCATGTTTGGTAAATATACCAGTGTTAATGGTGCGTAATGGTGCCTGTAATTGGTGTCTAAAGTTATTTAAAAGTAAATTTACTAGAAAATAATTAGCAATTTTATAGTTCACTACTTCCTAATTTTGTTGATAAAAGTTTTTCAGTGGTTTTTATCAGATGACACAATAGGGCCATGCTGTGAAATAGCTTTTTTCAAACTAGCAGGAAATTGTGCACACAAAATAAGATAAAAAAAATTTTCCCCCTAATTTCTTTGCCTGGCAGCCAGCTTCCTCTCTCCTTTTATTATCCACCGATTTATCCTTAATCAGCAGCAAGTGAAACATCCCAGGCATTGCTCGGGGATTTGTTCTTTGTGACCTTGGGCAATGCACCCCGAGCTGCGAGGCCAGCGCAGGGACAGGCCTGCTGTCCCCCACCGCAGGGACAGGCCTGCTGTCTCCCACCACAAGGACAATCCTGCTGTCCCCAGCACTGGGTCTGGGGGGCCGGTGGCAGAGGAAAGCAGCGTTTGTGCTCTCTGTTGGTAGCTGACCTGATCCCATGCAGGACATCTCTAGGGACACTGCCCATCAGGCTGGAAACCTCGCCATGCCTGGGACCCTGCAGGTTGGGTGCTGGCCCAACATTCTGGTCATGGTCTGGTCCTGGACCCGGTCCTGGTCCCGGCTGCGGCATGCGCCTTCCCCCGGCCCTTTTGGCACCAGTGGGGCTGCGTCCCGCGAAGCGGGTCGGGGTGGCCGCTCAGGGTGGACTGGCTGATGGTGGGTCACGGCCAGCACATGCTATGGGTCTGCTGCTCAGGGGGTGTTGGTGCTGCTGGGGGGGCCTGGGAGAAATGGAGCAGAGAAATGCGGCTGCTACAACGTTTTATTGTTTAGTGCTGTGGGTTCAAGTGTTCAGTTCAGGATTTTCATGTTGGTCAGATACAGAGTGACACCGGCAGACAGAGACGTGTTTGGGAGGAGCCGACAGCCCAGCAGTTTGGTTTCAGAAAAGGCTAACTCTCCATTTCCAGTCCCTGAACCATAAAATACCAGCTTTTCCAGAACAATGAATCACCCAGTCTGTGTATAAAATGAAATATAATTTATGCTTTGCTAATTGAAATCAAATACAAAATTCAATTTCCTGTGTATTCTAATGCTGACATTTGAATAGTTTAAAAAAAAAGTGTTATTAACCTGACTCCCTCTTGTTTGGCAGGCCACTCTCCGGCCACATAGAAAACAATTCCCCTGTCAAGCCCCTGCATTAGCACAGCAGACACGGGGTGCATTTCAGAAAAACAGAAGACAGAATAGCCCCCCCAGAGGCCCCCCTCTGTGCCACCCATGCCCCCAGCCCACCCCCAGGGTGGCTGGCGCTGCCCTGCTCTCTTCCAGCACTGCGAAGGGGCCGGTGGCACTGCGGCGGTGCGCAGGCAGGCGGGAGGTCCTGTCCCGCCCAGGCGCTGGGCGGCTCCTCCTGGGCGGGAGATGCCAGCCGATATAAAAAATAAACCTCTGAATATATGGCAGAAAGGATGGGAGCAAGAGTCAGGGGCAGGTGGGTGAGGCACGGGCAGGCCCAGCACCTCCCTGGGCCAGCCCTGCTTCTGTAAACCATCAGGTGGCCCTTCCTGGGGGGGCTGGGGGGGCCTGGGGGGCCCAGGGCCTTGTTCCACCTGCAGGACTGAGCCCCAGGCGCGACTGTTCTTCATCCCAGTGCAGGATGGATGCTTCTGCCTGGCTCGGCCGCATGTCGTGACTTCCCTAACAAGGTGCTTCATTGGGTTGTAACTCTCAGAAAAAGACGTGTTTTCAGATCTCCTGTTCCTCCAGTGGTGGGCATGATGAGAAGAGTGACGGTGGCTCGATGGCAGTCCGGGACCAGAGGCTCTTCCCAAGAGAAGCTGGCCTGAGCTGCCCAGGGAGACACGGGGCAGCACTCGGACCAGACCAGACCAAGGCTGGGGTGTGGAGGGAGACCTGCTGGGTGGGGATGGGGTTCTCAGGGGTTCTTTCAAACTCAAGGAGACCTTGCTCAGAGAAAAACTGCTCCTGGTTAAGCTGTGGATAAGGGCTGAGAGAGTCCAAGCTTTGGCCATGGAGGCGATGCACGGTGCCATGCTGATGGCTGTAACAACCGCAGTCATGCGCAGCTGCCAACTTGCCAGGTCCCAGTGATGCCATGAGCTGGGACCGCGTTCCCCCACAGCCAAGCCCCTCTGGCAGGCAGCCAGGGCTGCCGGTCCTGCCATCTCCACTGGCAGGCTCTGCTCAGCACCATCAGGGCCAGCCCGCCATGGCGTTGGGGCTGCAGCACGCTGGGAACAGGGAAAAAATTCTGACTATCCCTTCAGTGAGGAGCCTGGACACTGGGCTTTGGTGAGCCCCTCATCCTCCAACTGAATCCATTGAGCAGCTTGCACCAAATTGTGTAACAACAGTTTTCACTCAGGAGCTGATCTGACATTTTAATAACGTGGGAAATGCTGTAAAATTATTCCTATTACATACTTCCAATTTTCATGTAATAATTATGGGATTTGTGGGTCTGTGAAAAACTGTGTTATGTCAGGTGTTGTTTTTGAATCTTATCAGGCCAATAGCAACTGACATGATGTTAGCAGGGACCTTGCGGTGCCCCTCCAGCATGGCCTACGGTATAAATTTTCCAAATGGCTTCAGCTCCCTTTTTCATCCAATCCAAGGCACCAGCACCACTTCATGGTGTAATGAACCACAGGACAGGCCGTGAAACCCAAAGCAGGTTCAGCTTGTTACTCAATGTAACAGCAATTTCATTTGGTTAGCTGGATCAGTAGGGATTTCTTGCCACCTTAATCAAAACTGAGTCTTGGTCCTCCCACAGCAATACCACAATGCATGTCTGCTGCTTTCCACCAGCCAGGAACCCAGCATCCGAAAGGGGACAGGGGACGTGCACACAGCTACACTCCACCCGGGAGGCATCCTTACCACTCATTAAACCAAAGAAAGCGGCCAGCAATCTTTGAATGCCCTTAGAAATCATCCATGTGAAGGGAACATTTCATCAATGGTAGCTCAGCATTTTCCCTTTTGTTCCCTCTTTTATTGTTTTTCTCTCAGTAATGGAGATAGAAAGAGTGCAGCTGTGTCAAAGTGCTGCTGTCCTGCTCTCCACTGGTTCCAGCATGCAGCTCTCATCACATTGCTGGAGGATCCACTTGGGATATGGGTTTATTCTACAGTTTCTACCAGGATTTGCAAATTTGGTTGACTTGGTCATTTCCACTAGCAAGCACATATTTTTTGCGCAGAGCAGTGCTCACCCTGGGAATTAATTGCTTTTTTGTAATTCTGAATTAAAGATGAAGGCTGCTTCCCCATTTTGCAAACCCGGCTGTCAACAGCAAGCAGCAGAGATCTCGTTTTCAAGGTACAAATGAAGGGCAGTACCAGGGGCCCTGGCAGTCAGCCCTGTCCAGACCCTAGGCTGGGGCTGTCCTCCACACCTCTGCCCTGCGGTCACCCTCTTGGTTCCCACCAGGAACGCCTGGCTCTAAACCGCGGAGCAGGGCACTGCACAGCCTTGCCGGGAGGCACTGCCCGGGCATGCGTGGCTCCGCACCGTGCCTCGGCAGGCTGGCCAAGCAGTGAGATCCTGGCTCGCTCCAAGCGGGTGCCTGGGAACAGTCTTCGGTACGGCTTCCCGGAGGAGCAGGGGATCCGGGGGAGGCCCCAGTTCTGATCTCGCTGAACATCCCAGCAAAGCAGGGACGACTCTCTTCCAACAGTGGCTTTATACCCATCCATCGGAGGAGAATCAGCCCCGGGTGTTTGTGGCACTTGGTAAATACTAGTTTTAGTGCAACAAGTAATTGAAACGTCTGGTGCAAATGAAGTTTCTGTACATAGTTCCTTTGCAGCGTAACTGGCTTTATTCCTTCCATACACAAGTACCAGTGTGCATGTGAATGCACGTGTTCTGAATTTACCAGATCTGATGCTGCTGTTTGGGCAAAACTAAAAGCCAGGGCAGGAGAAATCAAATCTATGGGTTTGTCCCAGTGCTGCTGGGTTTTGTGAGCCACCTTCCTGCTCAGCTAGCCGTGGCAGGAGGTGCTGGTCCTGCCTACCTAGCTGCGAGGGGGACACCAGCAGCGAAATGTCAACACGAAGCAACCCATCACCCTGAGGAGCCCCGCTCCCTCCACCTCCTCCTCCTCCCACCCGCCCCCTGATCTCTCAGTGTCATGGGGGGAGAGCCCAAGTGCAACCCAAGGTGACATGCCACTAAGGTTTCAGAGCTGGAAACGTGGGCCGGCTTTGGCTGCAACCCTGACAGTGCGAGAGTCTTGCACTCGCAAGGCTGAGCCTCTAGCCCCAAGTGAGTTTTGGGTGTCTAATGATGATTCGCATCTCAAAAGAAAAGAGCTTTTTTCCTGATTTCATGGTTCTACTTATCACTTTCTTCCTGCTCCCACTGGAAATCTTGGCCCGTCATTTGGTAAAACATGACATTGAAGGGTTTGTAAAACTTCCGCAGTCTGTGGATGACGTCTGGGTCTATTTTGGGGTGAGTTCGACCCTTGGACTTGCCCAAGCACCGAGGAGCACTGCTGTCCTCTGGCTTCTTTAGACAGGGGAACCCCTTGGTTTTATTAAAATAAAAATGTTTCTCTGTCACAATCCTCTTGAGGCCTAAGAAGTCCTGGACCTTGGCCATTTCCCCGGCTGGGTCAGTGATGAGCCTCTCACCACTGACAAAAAGGATTTGGGAGAGGGGGAAGTACTGGAGCCAGTTCTCCAAGTGCAGGGCATAGATCCCAATGCGGATCGCGCTCCAGGAGGCGTCAATCAACCCCAGGGTCCGGTTCTTGAAGGCCAGCACCTCGAAGGTGGGGATCTCCGGCTTCTTGGAGAGCGTCTGCGTGTAGTCCGAGATGGCCCGGGTGACTGGGTTCCTCACCACCACAATCAGCTTTGTGTCCTTGGCCATGGAGTGAATGCGCCTGGGCGCTTCGTTGGTCACGAAGTAGCTGGGGGTCTTCTCCATGGTTATCTGGCCATCCAGCGTCTTGGGCATCACGTTCCTGTGCAGAAGCAGAGGAGGGGTGGTTAGCAAGGGGCCAGGCACGGGCAGACACCTTGGTGTCCCTCCTGCCCCAGGCAGATGTTGGTGAGATGTTCAGGAGGAGGGGTGCTGCCACACCTGCAGGCCCTGGGGACCAAAGCACTTCTGGCTTTGTTTCTTCTTGGACCCTGGATGTGGTGGGCACCTGAAGTGTTAAATCAGCCTTGGTAACACATTATACAGTCAATTCGCCATAGGCATATGTAGACAAAAGTTAATTGACAATAAACCTGTACAATACCTGTCTGTTCAGCAAGCCATCTGCTTCCATTTGCTCAATTAAGCCTATTCACTTCAGTCTTGTAACAGAGTGGTGCAGTTAGGATTACACAAGACCTTTTTGTTATGATGACATGCTTTTAAATGTCTCAGCTAATAAAACTTAATACAGAATAAGATCCCTTGCTTCTAGTACAATAATTAAATTTATTTACTATCTTGTGTGTGAGAAAGAATGACTTTTCTTTTATCTCTAATTCACATGCTCTGTCAATAATTAATTGCTGCTGGGTTTTGAGCTTCCTGTGCAAGCACGGTTATTGGCCAAAAGGAATTTGCCTACTGGATAAATTAGCATGTAGCAAGACTTTCCTGGATAGCATATTACCATATTGTAAAATGAAACTGCAGCGAGATAGCATTTATATCTAAAAAAACCAAAGAGGTAAATGCTTGTGCCAGCTGCCCCCAGTTAAAGATTATCATAGCAAGCCAGAAGGTATTAAATGATGTCCCCTGCAAGAGCATTAGAGCCTCTTTCACACCTCCTCAGCCGCCGGGCGCTGGAGAGGCTGGAGGGCAGTGCCACGAGCACTACCCACCTCCCGCTCCTGCACGTGCCGTGGCCACGGCCGTGGGCAGCCCCAGCCCTGCCACCGTGCCCCCTGCCCCGCCAGGCTCCTCTCCAGCACCCGCTATGTCGTCCGCAATAGAGATGCCCAGGTGAGAAAGTGGCTGGATCCCAGAAGCCGTGAAATGCCCCGCCTCACCTGCCGGCAGTGACCTGTGCAGGTGCTGGCCCGTGCAGCGCGGAGGGAGCGCCGTCAGCTCCCAGCGCCCTTCCCAGCGCCCTCTGCACGGACCGGATGAGGTGAGACAACACAGCGGGCCGCAGAGCCGCGGCGCCTGCATGTACAACCATGTCTGCTGGAGCGCTCCTGCATGAGGCTTTCCGTATCCGCAGTGTACCTGTTCAGAGGTTTTACAGGCACAGCATTGACTGCTTCTTAAGTGTGTTTTAACAATATTTTTATCTTAAGTCTTTCAAATACTCATGCCTAGGCACACCCACACAAAGCGTAGATTTTAACCTGTTGATGGCTAATTTGCCCCGAAGACGCGGTGCCTGACGGTGCTGCTGCCTGGGAGGCATGAGGAGGAGTGGTGTCACTGCTCCCGGGAAGCACTTGCAGCACTGGCCAAGTCTCCTGCAGCAGATATGGAGGATGGGGATGCTCAGGGTCTTGCAGGATTATCCCTTCACATTGCAACTATTTTTAGTACAAACATATGGTGAGGAAACAATGTGAATAGGCTGGAAACGGTTCTGTAAGAGCACCTTGGGCACCAGCGACCGCAGTGATGCTGACGTCAAACCGCCAAGCCCCAGGAAACAGCCATTTTAGGAATTTTAGGAATTACGCAGCTGAAGTCTGCAAGCAGAAGTGGCTGTCAGACAAGGCCCAGCTAGATTTGCCTGTCAATGTTGCCTCGTATTTGTGCCTGCTAAACACATTGGCTTGCTTTAAACGTCCCTGTAATCTGTGTATTTATTGCTGGTGTAATCCATCCAACAGGGCTTGTTTTGCCAAGGTGCTGCTGGAGGAGGTGCTGGGTCTCCTGTCAAGGCAAAAGCAAAGGTGGGTTTGGTGCTGCCACAGGGCTGCTCATGCCTTCAGCATTTTTGGGTGAAGAGGCCAGTGGGGTCCTGTGGCTCCCCCTCTCCTGCAGTCAGCATCTCTCCTGTTGAAAAATCTTCAGCTGAGTCCTGGCAATGGGGATTTGTAGGGAAGCAGGGCTGCAGGACTCCAGCTCACCCTTTTCAGGGCCAGCACGCCAGTGGCCATGCCCTGCCAGGGAGCTCGTCCCTCCAGCGTTGTGTCCCACCAGAGCTGCCTTCCCGACATGGCAGGGTGTCTGCAGTCCCATCTGAAGCACAGAGCACTTCGGTGCTTTGACTCTGCCTTGCATCAGCCGTCTGAGTAGCAGTGATGTGTGCAAGGAGCAAGGATTAGTCAGAATGATGCATCTTGAGGTATTTTATCTTAAGAAAAGCCTGAACAAGTTAAGAGGGATGCAAGCACTTGGGGATTGCAGATGCTGCAGAATTACGGACTGGCTTTCCTGGGGAGGATCCAGCACCCAGATTTAACAGCCCTGTAGGAAGGAAGCATCTTCTATGGCTATCCACATTGCAGCAAGGCCCACAGTGTGATCAGGGACTGAGTCCTCAGGTGCCCACTGCTGTACAAATAGGGTCCCCTTCAGCTGAGTGTGAGGTTGTGTAGGGGAGTGGTGCAAGGAAAGTGCACAGAAAATGAGATCGGGAGGTTGAGCACGTGGACAGGCAGCACTTACCCTGAGGGGAACTGGAGCCGAAGTGCTCCTTGCTGCTCTCTGAAAGTGTATGATGGATAGGAGAGCATCGCTGATGCTGGAATGGGGCTTCCCCTCCCCAGCGCCGCGCAGCACCCACACTCCAGCTTGCCACCCCTGCAGGGGGCAGTGGCCAGCTGGGCATGGGCACCACCAGCTGCAGGGAGCAGTGGCTAGCAACCTACCCTGTAAGGGCATCCCACCAAACTCCTGGAGCTGCACCAGGGCTCACCCAACTTCTCAGCCTGTGCGTGATTCTGACCGGTGTTTGTATTCCCATGCAAATTGCATTCACTCAGCAGCATGTCTCTGAGAGTGACTGGCCAAAGATAACCCTCAATTTTGGGATGTGACCCACTGCAGAAATCTCCCTGCTGCAGAGTCCCACTCACTGGCCTTGGCGGGCACTGCCTGTGAGCTTGCAGTGCACCAGTCCTTTCTGTGTTGCCCACAAAATACAAGCATGGCTGTGTAATATTTCCTGTTTGATTTTTTTTTTTTTAAATATTGCTTAACAAACTTGGAACTGAAATGCTAAAATTTCTGCACAGAAATTATGTCTCAGTCTTGATGTGACAGACCGGTGAAAGACCGGAGGAGAGCTGGGGGGCTGAACGGGAGGAGGGCTGGCGGCTGCTGGGGACTGCCACAGGCAGCACCTCTCTGTGCAGCCGGTCTCGCAGCCCGGGTGCTTATTGCCAGCAGTGGAGGAGGGGAGCGATCCACTTCCAGCAAGGACGCGGGCCCCAATCACAGGGCATCTGCACCCCGCAGCAGCACCAGACACCCCAGGTCCAGCCTCGCAGGTGTGACTCGCTGGTGGGACCCGGCCCTGAGCCTGTGCCAGCAGCCAACACGGCAAGCTAAACTATCTTGTAAAAGCTGTTTAGAGAAACGGCACTGAAAAGCAGGCCAGCAAGGACCTCTGAACAATGACTCCATTTCCCTACTACCAGGATGCCCTTCAGATCAGGTATTTTGCTCTGAACACACTCTGCTGCAGGGGCACAATCACTCCTTGCTGTCACCACCCTCTGCTGCACTCACTCACTTGCCTGGAGAGGCACGAGCAGCACAGTGATATTGCTGGTTGCGGTTCTCCCCCCCATCCGATCTAGTACCAACCTGGCAGAGTGCTCGCAGCGTTGCCATCTCCCTCCTGCTGCTGTATCATCCGCCATACACCCAGATGCCAGAAGACAATGCCACTCCTGGCTGGGCTGGCTGAGGTTTAGCCATTGCAGTCGTCTGCATGTTGCAACCTGCTCCTCCAGCGAGCATGACTCAGGTGGTGCTACATAGATCTCACCAGGGTCCAGGCTCCAGCACTTGGGGCAGCATCTGGCACTGGAAACCACTTTGGCATTGGCTGGAGGCAGTTTCCAGCCCTGTTGAGATGAGCACTGCACACAGATTGATCCACAATCCCTGCACCAAAGAACTTCCAGAAGAGTGGGAGCCTGGGAGGAGGAGCGGCAGCCAAACTGCAGGCGCCAGCGCCTGTGGCTGTCCTTGGGGCTGTGCCATCGGCCTCAGAGAACACACGGAGTGAGGCAAAGAACTGAAACCAGGGAACAAAGGTGCTTCCAAGTGACTTTGCCCAGGACGCTCCCAGAACAGGTTTCTATTGAACCATTAATTACCAAAATAAAGGTGTTACTCTTCTGTTCCTTGCTCCACAAAATAGTTATTTTATCATCAGTTACAGCTAGTAATTTGTATGCATTTCCTTTTTAACAGATTCTATCACTAGCCAGCTGCAGACCACATTTTACCCTACTGCTTGCTGTCTTGTGCTAACACCCAGAGCACCTCCAGAGTACCACAGCTGCCAGCCCCCAGGGACAGAGGTACAGCAGCCTGGGTGGTGGCTGGGAGTTTTCCTGCCAGGTCGCCTGTCTTTGACACCAGTCACTAACGGGAGCCGTTGAGGAAGGACTGAGAATCTCTTAATCAGGTGTGGGATTACTCTGTCCATCCTCCTTTCCTCCTGATTCCTATCACTGAAGAGTTAATGAAGTCCTGAAGCAGAGTTTTAATATTGCTTCCCAATCGCTGTAGTTAATGGCAACTCTATATATGGTTAACATGCACAAAGGTGTCCAGTCCCTCCTGTGTCTTGCTAAATTCTGTGCTCAAAGACATCAAGCAGCAACGGGGTCCATGGACTCGTCCCTCAGTGCTCGGGCAGTGTTTCTGCTTCATGCCGGCTCTGTATTCACTACTGTCCTGCTCAGAGAGGATGGGAGAACGGAGCTCTCTACCTTCTCCCTTTATCCCAACCTTCATTTTACACCATGATAAAGCTTGAAAGGGCTGGACCAGCTCCGATGCTCCCTTTGCCAGCTCTCCACAGGAATACTGAAGGTCTCAGTTCATGGCAGGTTCTCCAGAAGCATCCCTTCCAGGCCGGGGCCACGTTTGATCCTGAGCTGATAATGGGGGTGAAGCTCTGGGGAGGCTGGCCTGGGGCTGCTGTTACTCCTCCTGCTGCTGCTGCTGGGAGCTTGGATCAGCGCTTTGAGACAAGAGGGTCAAACAGGACCAACGGGATTGCAGTGAACCCGTGGCATGTGGCACTACAGGGAACAGGAAGAGGCAGCTGTGATTTTTGAGTGAAGAGGGCATCAGCTGAGACAGCAGTGGCCTGGATAACAGGAGAAGGAGCAGCGTGTAAAAGTCCTTCTACCTTGCAAATGGTGCTGGACTGCCACGCAAGCACAAAACACCATTACCCCGTGGTGTTTAATTACCCTGACACCCGTGCAGCAGCACCGCACACTTGTTTGTGCTGTCTCAGACAGGATAAGCTGTTTTCCTATGCAATTGTCTCAGCAGAAGGAGGGACCAGCATAGGCAGAATTGGCTGGTGTATGCTCCTCTGAGTCACACACCCTGGCAGCATGCAGTCAAATGTCAAAATGTGGCGATTATGAGATGCTAAAAGCTCTGCTGGAGTACGAGCAACGGACTCTCAGACAATAGGGCTCGAGGGGACCATTGCCGTCGTCTGCTCTGACCCTCTGCATCGCGCAGGCAGACCTGCCCTGGCCTGCCCTGGGCCACCCGGGGCGCTGCCTCCACTAGCACATCTGCCCCGTAGCGAAGAGCTCCGGGGAGCGGAGGGGCCAGGCAGCCCCAAGTGAGCTCCCGAGGTTAATTAACACCACTCACTGCTACTTAGCACCTCGGCTGCAGTGTGTATTGGTCTAGCCGCGGCCACTGGTTTCCCGGTTTTTTTGTAATACGTTTTTGTATCCGGTCTCTCTCCTAGCTGACAAGACGCTGTTCTGCAAATAAGTGCCTGTGGACTCTCAAACTAAAAGCTCAGAACAAACCGGGGCTGGCTGGGCCCCTGCCCCTTGTGCCGATGCTCTGGCTATGCAATTAGACTGGAGGGTGTAACCGACGGTATTTGTGCTGCATTTGCTCCTGCTCCCCCCGACCAGCATCTCCCCAGCACTGTGAGCCATCTGCAGACCCTCCTGGGACATTTGGGCAGGTTCCCAAGGACCTGGTGCTCGCATAAGCCTTCATTTGCTTTGT